ATTACAGGCATGAGCCACTGTGCTTGGCCTATTATTCCCATTTTAAAGGGGAGGGAAATGGAGCCCACAGTGAGCAGCTGGTACCTGGATTTGAACCCAGACTGGTGTGATCCCAAAGCCTGTGTTACGGCCCCAAGCTATAGGACTTCCTTGCTTTCCAGCTCACAAAACACAGCAACGCTCACTTTTTTTTTTTTTTTTGAGACAGAGTCTCCTTCACCCAGGCTGGAGTGCAGTGGCACTATCTTGGCTCACTGCAACCTCTGCCTCCTGGGTTCAAGCAATTCTTGTGCCTCAGCCTCCCAAGTAGCTGGAATTACAGGCATGAGCCACCACACCTGGCTAATTTTTGTATTTTCAGTAGAGATGGGGTTTTGCCACGTTGGCCAGGCTGGTCTCAAACTCCTGACCTCAACTGATCCACCTGCCTCGACTTCCCAAAGTGCTGGGATTACAAGTGTGAGCCATTGTGCCCCAGCTCACCTCTAATGCTTTCAACAAAGCCCATTCACATTTTTGACAGAAGAGAAAACTGACCCTCACAGAGGGAAAGTGATGCCCAACGGATGCTGCAGTTGGAACTAAAATGCATTTCCTGACTCTGAATCCAGTGCTCCTTCCCCTACCCCACCCCTATCTTGCGTTCCCAATGAGCACAGACTCCAAGAAGGGAACTCTAGGAGGTGAACCCAAGCTTCCCTGGATTCTGCATGTTCTCCCTCAAGCTGCTGACCATGGGCCTGTAGACGCTCTGAGCAGGCCCACTGCCCCTATTCTATCGCTGTCTCCACGGGGTCCCTGGTTTCTCACCCCCAAGGAGTAGGTGACTTGGACCCACAGACCATCAGTCAGAGAGCAGTCCACCCTCCCCCATTTACCAGTGAGACTGAGGCGGGAGAGGAAAGGCAGATGCCCCAGCAGTCCTGGCTCCCTACCACAGTGCCTAACAAATGGCTCTCCTGCCCCCCACCCCATGCTTGCCTGCTGCACCCCTCTCCTGCCTCTGCATAGCATCCTGGGTGCCTTCTCTTCCCCAGCCTCATCACTTAGTGCAGAATCTAGATGCTCATCATCCAACTGGCCCCTAGACCTCAAGGGCCTCAGAGCCTGGACCACAAGCTTGTTCCTGTCTGGGGCCTTTGCAAGCATGGAGCCAAGGCGAGAGGACACTTAGGGTTGTCTGCTGGACAGAGAAGGAAGGCACGGCTAACAGCAGTGGGAGCTGATGCGCCTGGCTACTTTCCTTCCCAGCCCTGAGCATACTCTTTAGACTCAGCAGCAGCAGCAGCAGCCGCAGCAGCAGGAACTTCTCTCTCACTCCTTGTCGTCCCCCAACCTCCATCTCTCCCAGTCCCTGCTCACCACTCCCCAGGTCCCCCACCCCCACTCCACCCTCTCTGCCCTCAGGTTTTTCTCTTCCCTATTTTTCCCCTCCCTGGCTGTGTCACCCCAGATCTCTCTCTCTCTCTCTCTCTCTCTCTCTCTCTCTCACACACACACACACACACACACACACACACACGCTCACTTCACCCAGCTCTGCCCCCTCCCCCAGACTTCACATGGGTTCAAAAACCAGTGGAGCAAAATCTATCTTTCAGCAGCCAAGCCCCAGCCTGCACCTTCAGCCCTGCCTCCCCTTCCCTGTTGTCACATTCCAATCTCAAATCCCCAGTGACCCACCAGAACAAGGCACAGCTCTGCCCCAATCACTGGGGAACAGGACGAGCCAGTTTCTCCCAGGCCCCTCAGGAAGCAGCCTGGGGAAGCCATCCCCCAACAAGCCCGTCACCCGACTCATCTAAAGTCTGACAGCACAAGATCCACAGAGACCTGAGCATGCCCTTGCTAAGGATCAAAGGGACCCACAGGAGACCATGTCCGGGCTCTCACCCTCTCCACCTCACCTGGCCCTCCTGCCAGGAAGCATTTCTGAGCGTCCTGTGTTCTAGGCCTCACCTTTGGCGCTGGGCCACAGTGAGCAAGGAGACGTGCGTTTAGGCCTCGATGCTCCAGCTTCATGGGGAGGACAGACACTGGCAGAATTGCCGATAATTCCATGATAAACGTTATACCATGAGTATAGACAAAGGGAGATGACTCATTCTGCCTCGGAGGTCAGAGGAAAAGGAGACGGGACGTCTGTTTTGGTCTGGGGCGGCAGGGAGGAAGGTGAAGGGCATCCCAGGTGGAAGAACAGCCCAGCCGGACGCACAGAAGCAGGGATGCACATGGCTGCACCTTAACAAGGAGGTGCTGGCTGTGGCTGGAGGGGACGGGACGGAATGAGGGCAGGGCAGGCAGAGGACACCAGAAAGGGCCCTGGGCAGCGTGGGAAGCACTACAGATGGGACCTTTATTCAGAAGGCAGCAGGAGCCACTGGAGGTTATCTGCTGGATTGAGAAAGACCACTCTGACAGTGCTGCTGGCTAGTGGCTGGGAGGGGGCAGGGAGGCCAGTGAGGAGGTCCCGGCAACAGCCCAGCCTCTTCCGCCACCATTCTTTCCGAGCCAAGTCCTCCCCTCTTGGCCACAGCACACAGGCCACGTCCTGCCAGCCTCCAAAGACTTGTTCTGCCCACTATGTTCCCTTTGCCAGGAACGCCCCTGTCATTCTTACCTCTCCATGCCTGAAGCACCTGCTCAAAGCCCCCTCCTCCAGGAAGACCCCAGCTCTGGTCAAGGCCTCAGCTGTTAGCTGGGTCCCAATCAGCCGCTGGCCTGTGAACGCTTGTGGCCAGTGCAGGGATGTTTCCTGCTTGGACCGAGGCATTAGCACAGAAACAGTGGGTCCTTGGAAAATCCCCATTCCCTTGGGCCCAGCGCCCAGGTGCCCTTTCCACAGAGATGCTGCTCTGCACACACCGTTGCTGTTGCGTGCACCTCCTCCCTTCCTGTGGAGCCACACATTGGACGGGGGATGAAACAGACACCCAAGCCATGACCACAGACAGCTGTTAAAAGCAATGAGTTTCAAACATGGGCTGCCACAGATAGAATAGCAATAATAATACAATAATGACGGCAGTAATCAGCATTTATTGGCATAAGCCCTGCGCTAAACTGCGTATGGATTAACTCCCTACATCTTCACTTCAGTCCCATGAGGTCTGTACTGTGAATCTCCTGATTTTAAGAAGGGGACACTGAGGCACAGAGCGGTAAATGGCCCGTTCAGTATGTGGTGGAGCCAGGAATCAATCCAGAACGTGCCCTGAAGGACTTCGCCACACAACCAACCTCTCTGAGACGAATGGAGAAGAAGGAAGCTGCCTGGTGAGAAGCCACAGGGTGTCCCCGTTTGGGGAAAAATAAAACTTTGCACGTACTGGTATATGCGATATATGTGTGCATTAAGGTGAGTAACAAAAAGTCTGGAAGGCAACGTTCAAACTGTTAACTGGGGTTACCTGCAGGGAGGGCACCAAGGGAACTTTCACTTTTACTACATATATCTCTGGCTTATTTGCATTTTTCACCCAAGTATCTGAGTGTTACTTGATAGTTTAAAACGGGAGGAATTATTAGGGTTGCAATTAACATTTGTTGAATGAATAGATGGCAAATTAATTTCCTAGGCCTGTTTTTTTCAGATGCTGGGTATGACCCATCAGTAGATTGCAAAATTAATTTCGTGGGTAGCAATCAGTAATTTAAAAAAAACCCAAATACACTAGAACAGAAAGTATCATAGACCAGCAGACATAGTAAGGGAGTTGTTTCAGTAAACTTTTATTTCAGTTAGATACAGTGGGTATGACCTGTGTAGCTGCCTAAGATGTTATTTCTTACTGCAGGTCATCGGCAAGAGTATCAAAGCCATTGGTCCAGGGTTGGGACTGTAAAGAGGAGTAAAGCTGGGAGCAGTGACTCACTGCTATCATCTCAGCACTTTGGGAGCCAAAGAGGGAGGATCGTTTGAGCCCAGGACTTCAGGACCAGCCAGGGCAACCGTGGCGAGACCCCTGCTTCTAGAAAAAATAAAAATAAAAATTAGCTGGGTGTGGAGACTGAGGCTGGAGGATTGCTTGAGCCCAGGAGGCTGAGGCCGAAGTGAGCTATGTTCGTTCCACTGCACTCCAGCCTGGGCCGCACAGCAAGACCCTGTCTCAAAAATAAAGAGGAGTAAGACAGAGCTTCTGCCTACAAGACCCCATGGTCAGTGGAAGAGAAAGGCAGCTCCAGCACCCCTGAGTTCCATTTATCTCTGCAAAGCCTGAGGAATGCTGGGCTGCTGGGAAGTCCTATTCTGCCCACTCCACAGTTGGCTTCTGGGGCCTGGATCTCGCCTTTATACATTCTCCTCCTCCTCTCCAAGGCGTCTGCTTCTGAGAGCTTTTGCCAGAGTTATGGGGCTGAGCCTGCCCTGGGATCAGAATGACTGTGTCCACTTCTATGTCACGCAAAAGGCCACTTCTCCTTGCTGCTGGGCCCTGAATGTACCGGCTGGCCTGTCAAGAGAGGGAGGGGTGGGAAACTAGAAGATTCCTTTCCAGCTTCCAGATACCGAGGGCCACGTCCCAGAGAAGCCTCTGAAAAGGCAGCTGTATGGTCAGCTGGAGGAGCCACCATTCAACCTGCGGCGAGGGCCGTCCCCCACCTCGGGTGGGCCTGACTTTGAGCAGAGCGAGGTGTTTTGGAGAATGGAGAGGAGCAGTGGCAGGAAGAGAAGCAGAGCCCCCAGCTCGGGGCTCCCATCACGCTGGCGCCTCCACATCAGAGCTCGCCTAACCCACCCCCGCCTCTCCTCCCAGGGCAGCAGACAACTAAAAAAAGATAAAATAAAAAGAAGTAATTCCCCTGCTCTGACGTCAGTACGAGATCTTAACAGCCCGGCAGCGGCATGAAACTGGATTGCAACCAGATGTAATGCCCTTGAATTTTCAACACACTGCTGCGTTGGAAAAGACATAAAGCGAAGGGGTGTGGGGGGGTGGGCAGTATTGGTGGGAGGAACCGTGCAGGTCCCGCGTAGGTCCCTGAATCCCGGCCCACCGAAACCGCGGGGAAGGCGGCGCGGGAGGGGAGGGCAGCGCACGGAGCAGCGCGGGGCCGGCTCCGCCATTCAGGCGCGCGGCCTCCCCTCCCCCAGCCCCCACCGGCGCATTGTTACACTCGCTCCCATCCATTCAGAGCCCGAGGCCCGCCGCGCCCCTGCCAGCCCCGGCTCCGCGCAGGAGGGCACCGCTGCAGCCCGCACTCCGGACCCTGCGTGGACTGGAGAACGACGAAGAGCACCAGGAAGGGAAACTGCTCGCCGGGGAAACGGGCGCCCCAGGAAGCTGGGGCCGTGACGGCCTTGGGCCTGGCTGGTGTTTCGCTTCCCCTCGGCCCCACCACGGAGGCCCCTGGCGCGACTAGGCTCCAAGTGTCACCCTCGCGTCCTGCCACCCCCTGTCCCCGCCTCACTCGGCTCCCATGTCCTCCTCCCGGGTTCCCTGCCTTCAAGGCGCCGTGGGGGGGGGGGGACCGGCCTCGAGTAAGGCGGCGGGCTGCGCCGCTGTCTATGAGGCGCCAGGCTCGCGTGTCCGGGGCCCCCGCCCGTGACGTCACCCCCGAAGGGCCCGTGCGCCCCGGGCCTGGCCGCTACAGAACTCCTCAGGTCGCGAGGGCCGCTTCCTGCCCGGCCTCAAGGCCTGCGCATAGGCCCAGGCGCCGCTGCCCGGATGGGGACACCGCAGAGAGCCCGCGCACCCCATCTCGCCACGCACGGCCCTCGCCGGCCCTGACTCCCACTAGACGGCCACACCGGGCCGCGGTCACGCATGGAGAAGTCAGCTACCCGCCCCCCACTTCGGACGCACTCACAAAGCTCCCCTTGGCCCCCGGCGCCGCGCGAATATTCCCCACGTCCCCACCCCACGCTCCTCCAACACTCCACGCCTCGGCGCACGCAGAGCCCCTGCCACACTCGTCCCTCGCGCCCCCACCCGACCTCAGCTCCGCACACATCCCCAGAAGACCCTCAGCCGCGGCACAGGGCGCCCCCACCCTACAGCTCCCCAGACGTCCATCCGGTGACCTCGAGCACCCCCCCACACACCACACAAAGCAAGGACCCCGCGGACCCCACATCTCAACCCAGCGCGCGCGCTCGGCCCCTGAATCCGCCTCCGCTCCTTACCCGGCCCAAGATCCCGACGTCTCGCGCCGCCACCGCCCCGGGGCAGCGTCCACTGGGCCCCCCGCGCCCGGGCGCTCGTTGCTCACCTCGGCGCCCGCGCTCACTCGGGGGCCCTGGGTCTGGCGCTGCGACTTCGCGGCCCGGAGGCCTGGGTGGCCATGGGGGGTCCGGGCGCGGCAGCCCGGCCGGCCCGCGGCCAGGCAGGAAGGAGGGTGGGCCGCGGCGCCCCCTCCTCGCGCCGGCGCTCAGGTCGCGAGCAGGGGCGGCCTGCTCAGCTCGCCTCTCGCCCTCGCCGCCCTCGCTCTCCCACTCGCCTCTCGGAGCCCAGCCGCGGGCGGGGGCGGCGCCCAGGAGCGCTGGGAGCGGGCGGCGCGGGGATCCGGCCCTGGCCGCACACCGGCCGGGCCTGCCTGGTGTCCGCGGGTGCCGCGGGGAAATGCGATCCCCTCCGCACAGGAAGAGCGGCCGGGCGGGCGACGCGCGGGGGGAGAAGGAGAGCGAGAGCGCGAGGAAAAAAGTTCCCGGGCGGCCTGGCTGCGCTCGCTCGCGGCCCCGGGCTCCAGGTGGGCCGTGCGCGCCCCGACAGCACCCCCTGGCGGTCCGCGCGCCCCCCGCCCGTCGGCCTGCGGGAGGGGGCCTCTGCGGTGGGATCCCCGCACGGCACGGGAGGACTGTAGCGCCCTGCGTTCAGGAGCTTCCAGCGTCGAGCCAGGCCCCCACCCTCACCCCGCCGCTAGCCCTCACCTGTGTCCACCTCTTTACAGTTTGAGAAACATTTTCGATTTCAAAACTCCACTGGCTTCATGTAAAAAAACTTCATTTACTAGGCACCTGGCACCTTGCTGAGTCCTGAGGAATCAGCAGAGACAATGCTGTCCCTGCTGTCATGGAGCTGGCATCCTGGTGGGAAGAGACAGACAGCAAACAAATGCTTAGATACACGACGAAGATAATTTTAGCAGTAAGTGCTAGGAAGAAAATTAGCAGGTGAAGTGACGGCTAGGGCTCCTTGGCTGGGGGTGAGATAAGGAGGCCTGTCTGTGCAAAGATCTAAATAGCAGGAGGAACCGCCATGGGTAGTCTGGGAAGAGCATTTTTTTCTTTTAGAGGCTTTGTTTTGCTGTGTTGCCCAGGCCAAGCTTGAAGTCCTGGCCTTGAACAGTCCTCCCACCTCGGCCTCCTGAGTAGCTGGGACTACAGGGGCCTGTCCTGCTGGGAAGAGCATTCTTGGCAGAGAGAACATCAAATGCAAAGATCCCGAGGCAAGAGAGAACTTGGTGAGTAAGTGGAATTGTGTGGAGGTCATGAGCAAGGGGACAAGTAGTGGGCACACTGAAGTCAGAGCCATAAAGAGAGGGGGCAGAGCCTGCAGGGCTGCAGAGAGCCCTGTGAGGAATTTGTTTGCAATTCCAGTGCAAGGAAGGTAGTCACTTTAAACAGGAATGTTGGATGAATAAGTCCTTGCATGAAACTTATAGACCTCTGACCAATTTCACGCCAAGGTCTCTACTTGCCATAGCTCATGTGGGAGCTCACTGCCACCTGCTTGGGAAGCCTCCCAGCCACCCCCAGCCTCTAGGGTCTGTGGGATACCCCCATTAACAGCCCCATCAAAGCCTCCCTTATTTGTCCTTTCATTGGGCAGTGGGGAGCTGGTCAAGGCATCAGAGCTTGTGGGTGACCTGGGAGAAGTGAGTTCCACATCTGCAAAGTAAGGTATTGTGACAGGTAGGGTGCCCTCACTCTGTCCCAGGCCTGCTGTGCCCCTTCTGTGCATGTCTCATTAGATCCCAGTGCCCCCTCTGTGAGGCTGGCTCATCACATTTTGCGGATGAGGAAACTGAGGTGCAGAATGATGAAGTCCCCTCTCCAGGTTCTCAAGCTACAGGACAGAAGCAACAGTGGTCTCTACAGTCCTTCTGGCTGGGCTTGGCTACTTGACTCGCAGGGTGAATGTTAAGAGCAAGACAGAGCTGGATCCCAGTGTGAACTGTGTTGTCTTAAGCTTGTTTTAAGCACCATTTCTGGGGGAGGCAGATCTGGTTTCTAAACATGGCTTCTCTGTGCCCAGCTGGGTGGCACTGGGCAAACTACTTAACTTGCTGAGTCAGTTTCCTCATCTGTAGAATGGGTAGAATAGTAGTACCTACCTTATGGATCTGCTGAGAGGATTGAATGAGGTACATGTGGAAAGCATTTAGCTCACAGCCTGGCATGCAGTAAATGCTGTTCTGCTTTAAGATGCTACATAAATGGGAACAGTCCTTGTCATCCATCCAGGGCTCCCAATCCCAACCCCAGGCTAGTCTCCTGCCCTCCCTGCCTTACCTTAACCTGCTCCTGAGTGGAGCCTAAGGAAGGCTGGTTCTTGGGACCCCAATGGGAAGCAAGACAAGGAGGCCTTCCTGGGGGATTTCTGGTTCCCACACAGGGGTCCCCAAGGCTAGCTTCTTCACCTGGAGAGGGCAGGAAACCAGCTGGAACCCCAAGTCCAGGAGAGTCCATTTTCTGGCCTTGGAATTAGGTATTTTTTGTTTTGGTATCAAATTTACATGACTGGGGACATTGGACCCTGCACGCAGGGTTGGGGGTACAAAGAGGACCATAAGCCTGGGCTCTTTGGAAGTCACAGCTCAGGCACCACTCAAGGAAGCACATTTCTTCAAGGGAATAGCACTTCCGGATGTCAGTTCAGTAAAGGATTGGAGGAGGTGGTGTTTGAGCCAGATGTCAGAGGATGGACAGGAGGGGAGCCCTGGGTCACAAAGGGGATGGGTGTCCCAGAGAGTGAGAAGAGGAAGGAACATGTAGGCAGATGGAAGAGGGTGTGGGGTCAGAGTACTAACAATTGTCCTTGTGTGTGTGAGACAGGGTCTTACTCTGTTGCCTAGGCTGGAGTGCAGTTGTGATCACAGCTGCCTGCAGCTTCAAACTCCTGGACTCAAACCCCTGAGGTGGACTCAGCCCCCTGAGTAGCTGGGACCACAGGCACACACCACTATGCTTGGCCAATTTATTTTTTACAGAGATGGTGTCTTGCTATGTTGCCCAGGCTGGTCTGGAACTCTGGGCTCAAGTGATCCTGCTTCCTTGGCCTCCCGAAGTGCTGGAATTTTAGGTATGAGCCATCACGCCTGGCCAGAACTGCTACTTTTGAGACCTACTGTGTGCCAGGTGCCTAGCGATGCTGTAACAAATTGCCACAAGAGGCTTAAAACAAGACAAATGTATTCCTTTTTTTTTTTTTTTTTTTGAGACAGATTCTTGCTCTGTTGCCCAGGCTGGAGTACAGTGGTGCAATCTCAGCTTACAGCAGCCTTTGTCTCCCAAGTTCAAGGGATTCTCATGCCTCAGTTTTCCAAGTAGCTGGGATCACACCACCATGCCTAGCTAATTTTTGTATTTTTTGTAGAGAGTGGATTTCACCATGTTGTCCATGCTGGACAGATTTATTCTTTTTTCATTCTTTACAGTTGTGGAGGTCAAAACTCCAAAATCAGTTTCACTGGGCTAAATCCAAGGAGTGGGCCGGGCTGGCTCTCCTGGTGCCTCCAGGGGAAAATCTGTTCCAGTTTCTGGAGACTGCCTGTGTTTCTCAGCTTGTGACCCCTTGGTGACCTCTGGAAGCTAGAACAGGCAAGAAAACAATTGCTTCCATGGTCCCAGCTCCTGCTTCCTCCCTTGACCTTCCTGCCTCCACTCATGAGGAGCCTTGTGATTCCATTCCAGGCCACCTGGATAATCCAGGCTAATCCCTCCATCTCAAGAAGACCCTTAATTTATTTAATCACATCTGCGAGGACCCTCTGAATGCTGCCTCGCCACAGCTCATTTTACAGATAGGAAAATAGGGGCTCAGAGAGGTGAAGTCACGGATCCAAAGTCACGTAGCAGGTGAGTTTAGTCACCCATTTCATGCATGGAAAGCCTACTGTGGGTCTGACACTGGGTTGCAATGTGAAAGTTACCCATGAAGAGCGCTGTGGTGCTCGGGCATGCAGAGTAATGCCCTGGTCCTGTTGAGGAATTCAGGGAAGGCTTCCTGGAGGAGGTAATGGGTGAGTTGAGCTTTCAGGAGTGATTTTCTTCTGCCTGCTTTAACCAGGGGAGGCTTCTGAACAATCGAGGGCCCTTCCAGAGGAGGATGGCTATAGGCCTAACCATGCTGAGACTGCTCCAAATGATGCTGGCTGAGAAGGCTCAGGCTCTCAGAGGAGAACTAGGAACTGATTAGGGATGACTGTCAGCAGAGCTAGCCCCAAGAGACTTGTGCTGCTGAGACCCTGCTTGTCATCCTCAGTTGCAGGAGGTAGGAGGGTGAGCAGGGATGCGCGCACTGTGCAATGCAGAGGTCCAGTAAGGTCAGTGTTGGTGCAGGGTCTCAAACTTGCAGCTCAAAGGCCAAACTCAGCCTGCTGGGTCTGCTTTGATTGGAAAGCAGAGCAAAGAGTGAAAATTTTGAAGTTGACATACGTTGCAAGGTGCAGTGGCTCATGCTTGTAATCCCAGCACTTTGGGAGGTGAAGGCTGGAGGATTACTTGAGCCCAGAGTTTGAGGCCAGCCTGGGCAATATAATGAGACCCCATCTCTAAAAAAAAATTGTTGTTTTTAAAAATTATCCAGGTATAGTGGTGCATGCCTGTAGTCCCAGCTACATGGGAGGCTGAGGCAGGAGAATTGCTTGAGCAGGGGAGGTTGAGGCTGCAGTGAGCCGTGATATTGCTGCTGTGCTCCAGCCTGGGGAACAAAGTGAGACCCTGTCTCAAAAAAAAAAAAAAAAAGTCTGGGTGTGGTGTTTCATGTTTCACACCTGTAATCCTAGCACTTTGGTAGGCCTAGGTGGGCAGATCACAGGTCCCGAGGTCAGGAGATCGAGACCATCTTGGCCAACATGGTGAAACCCCATCTCTACTAAAAATACAAAAATTAGCTGGGTGTGGTGGCTATGCTTGTAGCCCCAGCTACTCAGGAGGCTGGGGCAAGAGAATTGCTTGAACCTGGGAGGCGGAGGTTGCAGTGAGCCAAGATTGCACCACCGCACTCCAGCCTGGCGGCAGAGTAAGACTCCATCTAAAAAAAAAAAAAAAAGAAGAGAGAGAGAAACAAAGAGAAAAAAATAAGAAAATAAATACCTTTAAGGAATCTAGATTCTTAGGGGCCCCACCTCTACCTATTGTTCTATACCCACATTTAAATCACCTGGCTGACCAACCCCCAGCACACACACACACACACACACACACACACACACACAGCCTTGAGTTTCAGACACCTTCCCCCCAGGGTTCTTCTTTTTTTTTTTTCTTGAGATAAAGTCTCACTCTATTGCCCAGGCTGGGGTATAATGGCACAATCTCAGCCACCTCCCAGGTTCAAGTTATTCTCCTGCCTCAGCCTCCCAAGTAGCTGGGATTACAGGTACGTACCACCACGCCCGGCTATTTTTTGCATTTTCAGTAGAGATGGGATTTCACCATGTGGTCCAGCCTGGTCTTGAACTCCTGACCTCATGATCCGCTTGTCTCAGCCTCCCAAAGTTCTGGGATTACAGGCATGAGCCACTGTACCTGGCCCCGCCCCTGCCACCCCCCACCAACCCAGGGTTCTTAACACTCATGTCTGTGTGGCCTTGAACTTCCCGTATGTTTTCTTATAGGTCAAAAGGAGATCATGTTTCCTGCCTGGAGGAGAGGCCCCTGTGGGCTAGAATAGGGGAAAAAGGAGGGGATATATCTCAGGATAGAATCCTGCACCCTGCCAGGGACCAGGCTTATCCTTGGCTCATTCCACAGGATGCAAAGGCGCTTACTGTGGCCAGGCGATTCCTGTGGCCTCACAAGGTAACACCCGCATTTCAATAGCCCCCTTGTTCAGATGAGGAAACAGACTCAGGGAATGAAGTCACCTGCCGAAGACCACACAGTCATACCTAGATTCTCCTGGCCTGATCTCCTACCCATGCTGCTGTCCTGCCTCCTCTACGATCCCTGGATGGAGCCTCCAGGCTGTTCTTACACAGTCCTGGCCGAGTGTGAGTGTGCAGTGGGACTCCCCTCAGCAAGCATGTAGCTAGTACCTATTTGGCACCTTCTAGGTGCATTTCAGTCTTATTATCTCCATTTTCGTAGAGGCCTAGAGAGGGGAGGAATTTCTCCTAGAATACCTACCTCTGTGTGGGCAGCTGTCAGCCAGGCTCTCTGCTTAGACAGTAACAGAGGAATGAGATGGAAATTCAGAACTACTGCCCTAGCTCTGCCACCTGCCAATAGCATGGCCTTGGGTATCTCCTCACCCTCTCTGAGCCTCCAGTTTCTAACAGGAGGAGTGTTGCTATGCCTTCCTCCTTGGCTTATGAGGATTTAAAACACTTCAACACTGTACAGCTCTGGACCCCTCACCCCCTCAGCCTCCACCACTTCTACTGAGAAGACAGATGTGACTGTAAAGCTTTCTTGCCAACATCTTGTGAGTGCCCAGAGCCCTGTGGCAAGAAGCCTCTGCCAGGGAAAGGGATGAGGGAAGTAAGGGCAGTGATAGGGAAGCAGAGCCAGGAGAGACCCTTGGGCTTCCTTCCTTCAAGGCCTCTGGTCTCTAGCCAAGAGAAGAGAGTGAGCAGGTGAGAGCCCCGCTCAGCTCCAGGCATTTTATTTTTTTCCAGACAGGACCTTGCTCTGTTGTTCAGGCTGGAGTACAGTGGCACAATCATGACTCACTGCAGCCTCAACTTCCCAAGCTCAAGCAATCCTCCCACCTCAGCCTCCCAAGTTGCTCTGACTACAGGTGCACACTCTCACCCCCAGCTAATTTTGTATTTTTTGTAGAGATGGGTTTTGCCATGTTGCTCAGGCTGGTCTCAAACTCTTAAGTGATCTGCCTGCCTTGGCCTCCTAAAACTGGGATTACAGGTGTGAGCCACTGTGTGTGGACAACTCCAGGCAAATTGATCACCACAGAGAAGGGGATTCTGTCCAGTTCCAGGGATGCCCCTTAAGGGGTCCCAGACCAGCTGGGCCAGAACCAGACAAGCCTCTGTTTATTCATTCAATACATATTTATGGAGCCAAATGTCATTCTAGATTCCATTCCCAGGATGTGATGTGGGACCCACCACACAGCACCCACAGTCTGGCAAGTGAGGCACATATTGAACCCACTCTGGAGAAGGGTCTCATTATCCTGAGAAAAAGGCCTCTTTGACCACAAGTAAAAGCTTTGGGATCCAACATTTCTTAGCAATTGGAAAAAAAAAAGTTTAATCAGAATTTTGTTTTGAAAAATGAAATTAAAACTATGAAAATGTATACATTTTATCTTCCACAAACAAAATTTAGGTTAATGTGCTAATTCTTAGATTAATGTGCTGATACTTAGTGTTATGGTTTGACTGTCCCCTCCAAAATGTAGGGTGAAATTTATTTTGTTTATTTGAGATGGAGTTTTGTTCTTGTCAGTCAGGCTGGAGTGCAGTGGTGAGATCTTGGCTCACTGCAACCCCTGCCATCCAGGTTCCAGTGGCTCTGCTGCCTCAGCCTGTTGAGTAGCTGGGATTACAGGCACCCACCACGATGCCTGGCTAATTTTTGTTTTTTTAATAGAGACAGGGTTTCACCATGTTAGCCACCCTGGTCTTGAACTTCTGACCTCAAGTGATCCAGCCCCCTCGGCCTCCCAAAGTGCTGGGATTACAGGCATGAGCCACTGCCCCCAGCTGACTTATGATGAGATTTAATTGCCATTGTGAAGGTACTAAAACGTGGGACTATTAAGAAGTGATTAGGTCATAAGGGCAGAACCCTCATGAATGGATGAATCTCTTCATTGAAGGAGTGAGCTCATTATGAAGAAGGGGGGGGTATTGTAAAATGAGTTGGTCTCTCTCTTGCTCATTTGCCCTTCTTGCGTCCTCCATGGGATAACACAGCATGAAGGCCCCCACTAGATGCTGGTGCCATACTCTTGGACTTCTCAGTCTTCAGAATCTTGAGCCAAGTAAGTTTCTATTGTTTACAAATTACCCATAGTGGGATTCTGTTACAGCAGCAGAAAATGGAGTAAGACAATTAGAGTGCAAAACGTTCATCTGAGTAGGCATAGTTCTTCCCACAAGATTGCCTGATGGTCCTTACTAGCGCCTTCTGGGCCCTAACAGCCGAAATGGCTCATCACACCGCCCTGAATTCTTCGGGCCGCTCTGAGTTCTATGACATTCAAATCATTTTCTTCCAAAGCAGAGTCATCTTTACACTGGGGGTTTTCATTGTTTAGACAGGGCGGACCCAGCCAAATAGATAGACAGATCCTTGGTTTGTCAGCAACTGTGTGGAGGTCTCCAGCATCACTCGCACCAACTTCATGAAATTCTACAGCTCTGAAGATTTCCTTTGCCGCCAGCTTGCATAAGCAGACCTGACAGAAGAGTTGCCAATGGGAGGGCTGTAGAGACGCTGGTGCTAGGCGGGTGAGATGCTGGAGTGCAAATGAAGTAAGTGGCCAGGACAGTGGTGGATATATTCACGTTTTGACAATTCTTACTCCCAACTCAGATAATGAATGCTCAGCTGTGGGGCACCCCAATCATACAATTAACTGAATCAGCCCAAGATCTCTTGCATCTGGAGTCAGGGAGGGATAAAGTCCATCTGATTTCAGCTGGTGTTCTTGGGGATCTCTGTTATAAAGCCTACATCCTACCTAGCACACTGAGTCTTTTGGTGGTAATTACAACTGATTTTCCTGGAGGGACCATTCTTTCCCACTTGTGGCCCATGTGGTCCAGGCTGGGCTGTCCCTACCTCTAGGATGCAGAGACTGTCACTGCATTTGACTTGGGTTCAACCGAAGTGCCCCATTTGCCTGGCCACAGGGATTGGTTCAGGCGTGGTTTGAATGACCTGAGCCCGCCTGGAGTTTTGCTGGAAGCGTTGAGCTTTGCCGGAGCCTCCAGGAGTAGCTGAGCTGGTTGACTGTGAGTCTGAGAACAAAGCCAATGGGGAAGAACGAGGAGTTGAGAGGCATGGAGACACCCTCTGGGCACCTGGATTCAGCTGTGCCTGAAGCTCCCAGGACTTTAAGTTACTTGAGCCAATACGTTCACCTTTTTGGATAAACCAGTTTGAGCTTGTTTTCTGTCACTTGCCTGAAAGAGAGCTGATGCTTTACCCAGAGAAGAAAAATTTGGAATGGGGAGAGAAGGGGAGTGACCACTGTCTTCAAAGATCTGAAGGGCCGCCTTGGCCTTGGGTGCTCACACACAGGCTGTGTGGTTCAGTGGGCAGAGAGATTCAAGCAGGCTTCTGGCTGTTTATGAAGAATGTTCCCACAACGAGAGCTTTTCAGAGAGGGCCCCGGGCAACTTCAAGAAAGGGAGGAAGCTTCCCGTGTCTGGGGGTATGCAAGCAGAGGCAGGACGTGGTGAAGGGGACTCAGGCTGACTAGGAGGACAGGGATCTTGTAATTTAGGAATGTGACCTAGCACCTCCAACCAGCTTGCATGTTGAGCCGGAGAATAATAGTCAGGCCCCATCTTTAATTATAAAATATTTAAGATATTCAAGAAGGTACAGAAAATAATTCAGTGATCACTCCTGCATTCACCACTGTCAGCTGAAGAAATAAAACCACCGGAACAGCCGAGCTCCTGACCGCAGACCCCTCCACCCTCCTGCCCTCCCTCCCGGACTGGTCATTAAGCTTTGACTAACCCACGCATAGTCCTAAGGGATAAGTACTTCAGAGGTCTTTTTTTAAATAGAAGGGTTAGAATTGCCATGCTTTCAGGCCTACAGATTTTTTGTTATTACCAGTGGTGGAAATAAAAGTGCTTAGCTACTAATAAAACATGTGTTTTCTTTCTTTTTTAATAATAGAAAAGTATGACAAGAGCAGTCCCTGAACACGGACTTTTTTTGTCTTGTTTATATAAAAGCCATTTCCTCACCTCCCCTCCCCACCCCCGCCACCCAGCCTCCCGAACCTCCCTGTTCCCAGCTCTGGATTCCGTCTCTGGGCTTTATTCCCTGCCGATAATCACAATTCCAGGATTGAGACTGAGATAAGGCATATCAAGCACTTTGCACATTCCCTGGCATATAGTAAGCACTAATTTTAGCACGGGTTGTCACTATCGCTGTCACTGCCATCTCGGGAATTGCTCCACCCGCGTCCCCTCCCGTTGGCAGGAAGTTGCCAAACCCTCCACTGCCTCTGCTCACCCACCTTCTCCAGGTTGTCCTGAAATTCCGCCAATTTCACCCTTCACTACCTCCCAGACCACAGTTGGAACTGGTTTCCTTGACTTCAGTCTCAACACTGCATTCACCCTCATCACGGTGGCCCAAGCAATTGTTCCTTTCCAGTGTGTGGCTCCCCATTTGCCCCCATCTCTGTGATGCCCCCAAGGCTGGCCTGGTGCATACACATTCTTCCTTGCCCCATCCCTGGAGACTGACTTGCAGGTTCCTCAACTACCTCTTCCCTTACTCCTCAGAACAACCCCACATGCTGTTCCCTCTGGCCAAGATGCCCTTCCCCTCTTGCTCTATCTGGCTCCTGTCTCCACGTCCTTCCAGGCTTAGCTCAAGAGTGGGCTCCTCCAGGATGCCCTCCCAGGCCTCCCCAGGTCCAATCAGGCCCCTGCTCCCTGAGCAGTGTGCCAGACCTACTCTACAAGCCTCTAACAGCCTCTGGGATCCTGATTCTTTGTGCGTCTCCCTCGCTCCAGGTGGTGAGTTTCTTGAAGGCGGGAGGAATGCTGTCTTCCTCAAGGCCGGCCAATTGCTGTTGCATAACAATTAAAAAAAATAGTATCCCTGACTTGTCTAAGCTTTTTTTTTTTTTTTTTTTTAAATTTGAGATGGAGTCTCACTCTGTCACCCAGCCTGGAGTGCAGTGGTGCAATCTCAGCTCACTGCACCCAGGTTCAAAAAATTCTCCTGCCTCAGCCTCCCAAGTAGCTGGGACTACAGGCACATGCCACCATGCCTGGCTAATTTTTTGTATTTTTAGTTGAGAGGGGTTTCAGCATGTTTGCCAGGATGGTCTCAAACTCCTGACCTCATGATCCGCCTGCCTCAGCCTCCCAGAGTGTTGGGATTACAGGCGTGAACCACTGCTCCTGGCCCTTATCTAAACTTGCTGCTCCTTCCAACTTACTTAAGCTTCCCGAGAGCCCAGTAGGGGAGGTCCTGAAGCAGCCCCATTTTACAGATGAGGAGGTGAGGCAGCATGTGTGTGCTTCCTGCGGCTGCTGGGACAAATGACCACAAACCGAGTGGCTTAAAACAGTGCATGTCTATTCTCTTACAGTTCTGACGGCCAGAAGTCCAAAGTCAAGGTGTGGGCAGGTCTGGACCTTCCTGGAGGCTGTTGGGGAGAGTCCTTGCTCCTGTCCTCGCATCCCGGCAACGTCTGCTTCCATCCGCGCAGCTCCTCCTTGCAGGCCAAGCTCCCTCTGCCTCTTTCTTATATACAGGAACACCTGTGATTACATTTAGGGTCCATCCAGATAGGTCGAAACAATCTCAAGGTCTTTAATCAAATTACATCTGCAAAGACCCTTTCTCCACCTGAGGGAGCACTGGTAGGCTGCTGGGAGGAGGCTGTGGGGTCCTGGGAGGCCTCTGTGCGTCTGCCTCTGAGGGTAGCAGTGGCAGAGCTGCGATGTGGACTCAGGGAGTCTGGCTCCAGATCTCCGTGCCACAGCACATCCCTCGAAGGAGCTACCCTGACTGTGGGGCTGGCCATGGGGCAAAGCGTTCCAGGCAGGAGGAAGAGAGCAGCCTGGCCTCTAGGTGGGAAGGCAAGGGTGGCATGGGAGCACTATCTGGCCTATGCCAAAGTGCAGCACAACCAATGTAGCTTTGTGGGCAGAGCCAGGGCACAGGTTAGGTGGACCCTGATGGGGCATCGTTCTCCTTGGCCTGCAGTGCTGGAGGCCAAGGCTGTGGAACTCCATGGAGGGCAGGGATGAGCCTGTTTCTCCCACCTCCTCCCCATGCCTAAACACCCTTGAACGAAGGAGGAAGGGAGGCTGTGGATTAGCAGGGGCTGGATGATGGTGATGGTCCCTTTATGGATGCGGTGTTTAGAAGGTGCCAGGCAGTGAGCGAAACTATTTGTGTCTGTCTCTCATTTGATCTTTACAACCATAATGCCTCGTATACCCATTTATTGGATGCACAAATTGAGGCTTATCAACAATGTCTAGTATGTCTTGAGCATCGGTCATAGGCCAAACTCTACATAGGTTCGTGGTCATGTGACACTCCCAGATCCCGGCAGCCCTGTGTGGAGGGGTGCCATCTGTCTGTACAGCCCACTGATACAAGTGAGCAGTTACAGAACGCTGAGGATGGTGTGGGTGGGTGGGAGGCCTCAATCAGGCACTGGAGCTGTAGTTTGGCATGAAAGTGGGGGACTGGCAAGGTCAGGATCAGGAGCAGATGGGGCTTGGGTGGGTGGAGGAAGCCCCCCAGGCCCCTGGCTCTCAGCCATGAACAGCCTGGAGGTGTGCAGGCCCTGTCCCTCTACCAGGCAGCCGGGGTGGGGAGCCAGTGTTGGTCCTGGGCTGTGGGATGGGGGTGGGGAGGGAGTAGGAAGGGGGCTGAGGAAAGGAGTGGGGGTGAAGGAGGGGGAGGGAGGATGGACGGAGGAAGGAGTGGGGCTGGGGTGAATGGGAGGGAGTCATGAGGTCCATGAGGGTCACCATAGTAACAAGAGCCGGCTCTGCTCTGAGGCCTGAGTCTGAGCCGCCACGGGGAAGGAGATAAAAGGTTTTCTATCGATCTCTGTCGGGAAAGTCATCGGTGATAAGCTGGGCTGGAGGGGCCGGCTGGTGGAGTGTGCATGGCGGCTGCACATGCATGGCTCACGGGTGCCCAGGGAGCCCCATGGACTGGGGTCAGACTGTTTGGGAGGTGACCACCTGAGCCAGGGGGCTGGGCTGGGCCAGCAGCCAGGTCTGCTGGCTTCTCCTTTAGCGGGAACAGCTGGCTGACTCAGCCTCCTTCCTCAGTGTTCCCTTCTGCTCAGTGGGGCAGTTGGGCCCACCAAGTCACTGAGACAGGCAATGAGTCAGGGTGCAGAGGTGAGAGGGAGAGAGGAGCTCAGAGGCCATGGCTGGTCTCTGATCTGCGGTAGAGGTCTGGCCGCAGGAAGCTGGTCCTTTCTCTTCAGGAGAAGCTCAGGTCCATCTGGGGCATCAGCAGCCACGCTGGGATGGGCTGGCAGCCTCGGGTGAAGAGGAAGACTCCAGCTGCCCAAGAGCCAGGGCCCCACTGAGCCAAGGGCAGCTTCAGCTCAGGGCCTCTGTGTGTGTGTGCGTGTGTGTTTGCATGTGTGGCTGTGCACAGGTGTGGAGTGTGCAGTTGTGTGTAGGTGTGAGCGTGCGTGCGTGCAGTTTGTGTGTGGGTACATGTGTAGGTGTGTGTGCAGGTGTGCATGTGTGTGCAGGTGCGTATATGTAGGTGTGTGTGGAGGTGTGTACATGCAGGTTTGTGTTCAGGTGTGTGCACGCAGGTGTGCATGTGTGCATCTGTGTGCAGGTGTGCATGTATGCAGGTGTGTGCGGGTGTGCAGGTGTGTGCAATGTGTGTAGGTGTGTTCACACGTGTGTGCAGTTGTGTGTATGTGGGTACATGTGTGTAGGTTTGTGTGCGCAGGTGTGCACGGGTGTGCAGGTGTGTGCACTTGTGTGTAGGTATGTGCATGCGTGTGCAGTTGTGCATGTGGGGGTACATGTGTGTAGGTGTGTGCAGGTGTGCATGTGTGCGGGTGCATATATGTAGGTGTGTATGCAGGTGCGTATGTGCGGGTTTGTGTTCAGGTGTGTGCACGCAGGTGTGCATGTGTGTATCTGTGTGTGCAGGTGTGCATGTGTGTGTGCAGATGTGTGTGTACAGGTATGTGTGTGTGTGGGTATATGCAGGTGTGTGTGCAGGTGTGCAGTGTGCATGGGTGTGTGTGTGTGCAGGTGTGCGTAGCTGTGCGTAGCTGTGCAAGTGCCCCCCCAAGCCTTGAGTGTGTACAGGTCACCTGCCCCCTGCCTGTCTCTGTGTCTGCACGCCTTCCCTCCACATATGTCAGAGCCTGCGATGCCCCAGACGCTGGGCTGGGTATGGATGCAACGGTGAATGAAGTAGGCACAAATCCATGTCCTGGTGGAGCCAACATTCTAGCGGGTGTCTGGGGCAGAAGAGAGACAACAAAATAGAAAAGCAAATAGGGGCTATGGCTGATGAGTGTCCCAGGGGGTGCCGGAGGGGGTAGAAGGGGGAAGCAGTTTGTCAGTAAGGTGAGGGAAGGTGGTCTTAGAGCAGGGACCCGAGGGAGTCAAGGGACAGATGTGTGGGTACCAGGAAGAGAAGATAGCAAGTGCAAAGATCCTGAGGCAGGATCCACAGGGAGGCCTGTGGGCTGGAGAGCAATGCCTGGGCAGAGGGCAGGAGGCAAGGGCAGAGAGGGTCAGGACCAGCTTGGGTGACTACAGTGGGGCTTCTGGCTCAGATCCTGAGTGATGGGGGCCTTCAGGGAGGGTGGGGGTCTCCCCTAGGTCATCACAGTGTGCCCTGGCTGCTGAGAGAGGCCAGGGCAGGAGCAGGAGGCCTGGGCATCCAGGGGACCATGGTCAGGGTGGGACTGTGGGCTGTGAAGATTCCAATTCCAAATATATCTAGAAGGTAGAATGGACAGGAATTTCTGACGTGTGGTGAGGGGAGGAGCCTCGGACACTCCAGAGTTTTCTGCCTGAGCTACAGCAGCGAGCTTTCAGAGAC